TACCTGAAGTGAGGAAGGATCCACCATGATTAAGGAGCAATGAACCACTCTCAGGCAGAAACTAAAAAATACATGTGCTACAAATGATAAGGGAGCAATAAAGCTCGAGAGGTGGATAAAGTGGGCTTCCAGGCTGGAAAGGAGAGAGTATTGGGACAAGAGCAGAAGAAATTCAGCAGAAAACCTGTACTGCTGGCACTGTCTGTGTCCTAACACTGTCTGTACCCATTGCAAAGTTACAGAAACATGGCASTGGCTCACAGGACTGTGATGCCACTGCTCCTCACTGGCACTGGTTTTGCATTTTGTTGAATAGGGCTGGGAGTGCAGGTAGGTTTGAGTCACCTGGTGATGCATCAACATAGCTGCTGCTGATTTGCTTTTTCCAGATTGAGGTTATCCAGCAAACACTTCCCCAGCACAGCCCCACTGCTCGTCTCATGGCTGCCCCCGAGCACGGGGTCAACGCCCATCTGTGGTGCAGACCAAAGCAACACTTCTGCTTAGAACCAGTTTCAGTATTGGCACCATGTTCAAAACAGAGGGCATGTTTGGTTTATTTTGATGAGGCTTCATATCTGCTTCTCAGGAGATGTATCTCATTGAAAGCTGAATCTGCAGTCTTGCTGGTTTCTCACATCCATCTTCTTCCCTCGCCAGCTGTGCTCTTAAATTATTTTGCCAATCTTCCAATAYTTTTGTATCCACTTTGCCTTCCAGGCAAGTGGATTCCCTGAAGCATTCGCAGAAGGCAGCTRGAGGCAGGATCTGCTGCTGCATATCTGTTAGATGTGCAAGAAATGGGATTGCAAGAAACTGTGTTGTAATGYTTAGAAATGGAGATCATTCTGTAATGAGCTTCTCTCCTAGGAGTTTTCCGAGGAGGGAAAAGTCCTAAACATTGAAGCCAAAGCTCTGACAATAAAAGTTCCTTGCATGTATCCTTCTTTCTRCTGTCATAAGTTACCAAAGTTGGTTGTGAGGGACTGCGTCCTCCACAGACTGCACACAGGGCAGGGGATCCTCAGTTCTGACATGTGTTTCTGTGTGCTAAGGCAGTTCAGATTAGWTAATGCAATAATAGCAGAGAATTGCCATAGACAATGCCATGGRAAGTRGCATTAAAATGAACTTAWAMTCACACACTCCACAAGAATCTTTCYGTTTCTTTCTGAGTCCAGAGGAATAGGAAGGCCTCCATCCACCATGCTCTCCTATTTTATTTGGCCTGATCGCTTCCCCTCCATGCACTGTTCATGTATCAGATCTAGAAAGCAGCTGAAGGTAAAAACCCTTTTCTTATATGTTTTGTGCTACAAGATTGCCTTTACATTGTGTTAAAGAGCATCCAAGTTAATGGTGGATATCAGCAAGATTCAGAGACTAGGAATGGAAGGGAAGACACTTGAAATAATCCCCATTTTCCACCTTTCCAGAAGCACACTATGAATTTGTGCTACTTCTAGTTGTAGATACTGGGAAAGCACCCCTCATTAAGACATATAAATTAGATTAAAAATGATAACATTATCTTGACTAATCTGCTTCATATGACTACTTGATAACCAAGGTAGATACTCTCTTCTTTTTTTTAACCTTCTGTGTTTTGCACTTTTTTTGGTTATTCTCTGGAAATGAAGTGCATTTGTATACAAATGACATCTAAATATCAACAATGCTTTAATAATGTCTCGAGATAGGTTTTCATCTGTTATATCTCATGGGTGCTGTTGTTTTCATATAACTCACCTAATACATTATTTAGCATTTAATATTTTAGAATATTCTAAATGCAGGGAAAGCTTGATGTTTATAATGCATTGCACTGGACAAGCAGTTTTTAGCAACTCTACTTTCAAGTGACTGCCTGCCTAAAACACRTTGAGGGAATAGAAAATACCCCATATGGTAAAAAATATTTAAAGCACAATTAATTCAGTTCTAGTAGCATTTAAATTGTTTTGCTAATAACTTAGGTTCCTCACAGGCAGCACATGTGGGCTCTGTCCCTGGGTCAGCTGAGTTCAAGACAGATTTAGCCTGGCCTTTGCTGAGAGGGTTTGCATCTGAATCTATCCTTCAAAAGATCACAAAACTTCAGGCACTGAGTTGTTTGGTGCGCTTTCTTTGAGATCTGTGATTTGGYTGCCAGTAACTTTAGTAGAGCTGGAATATAAATCATACTGAATGTAAAACATTTGGGCTTCAGTGTGTCGGGCAGATATCCATGCAGAGAGAAGGGTAATTAAATCCTCTTGCATTTTAAACCTTACAGAATGAGGCTCTGGCTGAGGTCTTGCAAATACAGACATTTTCTCCAGTGAAGCCTCTTCTGGTTGCCAGTAATGTGGATAAATAAAAGGCTTAACAATTAGGAAATAAGGAAAACAAAGATAATACACCAGTCAAACTTTTTGTATTATTAATGCATAAGTGAGAAACYGTGATGCTTGTGCAGGCTGTTGCCCTTAATGCCAGCTGTTGCTGYGCACATGGGTTGGTATTTCACACTCTGAACAGCGCTGCTGCCAGCAAGCACTCAAACAGGCAGCGTCAATAACAGCAGCCTTCCCACACTCCATACAATTTTAGCTATTCTTCAAATTAATAATAATACTTAATAAAGCTTCATCTCTCATTTGCAAAGAAAACCTTCAATTAATGTTAATCAGCATCCTYAGAATGTGATCAGGCTGGGCTTGTAGCTGGACGTGCCGAAACGGTTCAACTGGCAGATGGAGCATTTTCTAACTATTCTAATTAATGACTGCTCATTTCAAATGTTAATGCAATTAAATAAATAGGCAAAACAAATAAAAATAATATACAGTATGAAAATGCCACTATCAGAGAGAGAGTTCTGATCAAAAAAAGTAAGCCTCATTCAAATCCCAAAAGGGCCCAACCATCCTCTCCTGGCTAAATAAGTTCTGAAAAAGCTAGGGCTAGCTTTTGTTACATATTTCCAACCATTTCTCTGGGAACAACATTTACACCACTTTCTTTTTAACCTGCTGGCATCAACTTTAAATATTAGAACATTCTCCTGCAGAAAATGAGAAGGGATTCCTTTYACATGTTATGGGTGGTTTTTTTGGTGTAAGATTTAGACTTGCCTTGCTCCTTGTCTTTTCTGTTTGAAATAATTGCCTGAATTTTTGTTTTTAGGTGTTTAATTTTCTGTGAACCTTGTATACCATACCACTGATGTAGGACTGCATTTGTTTGGGCTTATAAAGAGTTCAATTAGCCCCTTAATGCCTAGTTCAGTCACAATTAAACCTTCCCTGTTGACTCAGGATTGGTCTTTCTAAAGGCAGTGGAGGTGGTTTTAATTATTCATTCTCTGGTTTGTTTCTTACAGCAGTCTCAGCTGTGCTTTATTATTCAAAGGTTAATGCAAACTGAGAACTGGGTAAATTAAATTTGTTTGGCAGCTAGCAACCTGATGTATTATCGACACTGTGAAATATGGATGGCAACACTTCTGCTGCTGTGACRCTTAAAAAGCCAGATTTTATCTTTAAAACAATTGCTAGTTTTGTTACTATGGCTGATAGAAAATGAACGTTCCATAATGTTACAGTCTCTGTAGCCCATTATTGTCGAGAAAGCAAGGTAGTTTAGAGAGCCAAGAAGCATTAACAGCTATTATGGAAAATGGATGTAGGTACCATGACTAATGAAGTGCTCTGCACAGGACTGAGCCACGCAGCTGTATGCAGGGAATGGTGCAGTCASAAGTTTTAATGAAGGGAGCCCAAGGAATTGCAGGTGAAAGAGGGTTTTATTAACTCCCAGTGAACAAAACGAATGGTTGAGCAGTGAACATGGCATGATGTTGTGKAATAATTGTATGCCTTGGGTACATTGTGAGGCGTGGAGCATAGCCAAGAGCTTTCAGCTGTTCTACACACCAAGCTATTCCACAAACCCCTGTATGCTGCARAAACCTTTATTGCAAACATAACAAGGATTGTTTCACAAGAAATGCCTTAAGACAATGCCACATCYCTTATTTGAGATATCTCCCAGCMCTGTCTACTTCTAAAATATATTAAYCAGATATCTGGAAGTCACCATCCCAACTTATCCTAATAAAAATTCAGGTCCTGGTACCAGCAGACTGAGAACTGAAAAGAAGTCTTCATATGCCTGAAGAGGCCATCCTGAGTAAAATATGTATTTGTGTGGACAGGCATTATATTGTATGAAAGGAGGCTGTGTTAGCTTTTAGAAAAGTCATGCCCAAGAGCTTTTAGTAGTTAGTATTTTATTTCATTTTTTTTTCAGGAATTCACCGTATGGGTGAGAGATTTTTCTTGTTTCATAGAGGATTATATTTTATACATTTAAAATATTATTTCAATACCATATTTTTTAACCAAGGACTTGGAATGAACATAATTCGACCGTTTAACCCACTTCCTGTTTTCATTATTTTTAAGATCGGGAGRTGATTGCAGAGCAAAGCAGCCTTCTGTGTTAGTGAGTGGAGACCTTAGGTTAGGAACAAGTGCAATTGCWAGGTTGTTTGTACCCTGCTCAGATTTTAGTACAGTCTGTGCTGTATAATGTGTGTAATTACGCTGCTACTGACTGAGGAAGTAGGTGGATGAGGAGGTAGGTGAAAATAGGATGGCTTGTGAAGCAAGACAGTGACAAGACATTTCAGCAAAGTCTCCATATCCTTGCGCTGTAAATACTTCACATCTGCCCACTAAAATATTTGAGATAAGACAGTTGGGAATTTTTCTGTGCTGATTTGAATAATTTATGATGTGATTTTAATACTTCTTCCTGGCTGAATATATCAGTTCTCTGACAGTGCTTAGGACATCAGATGCATGTTCCATCGGGGACTAGCTTAATGAATGTGATACACAATTTTAGTTTCTGGTGTTGCTGCAAAACCAGCAGTACTACTGGTAGAGTATAACTGATGCAGTATATCCTTGATTGTATGTGATATTATGTTATTTTTCTGTTTTCTGTTTTAGTGCTGGACCCAAAGGAGACAACATTTATGAATGGAGGTCAACTATACTGGGGCCTCCAGGGTCTGTATATGAAGGTGGAGTTTTCTTCCTTGACATAACCTTTTCACCGGACTATCCTTTTAAACCACCCAAGGTTAGTAGAAGGATATTCAAAGTCTGATAGGAGTTTTCTCCTTCTGATATTTTTAATGTGYGTTTTGGTGTATCATTTTAGGATGAAACAAAACTTTCAAAGCAATAATSAATTTTTAAGCTTGACTCTTTTGATCAAAAGAATTTAAATAACTGGCTAAAATTTGCTTGCATGCTGCCCGTTTAGCTGAATGAATATGGATTTATTTGGCAAAGTGTGCATGATTTACAGTAGCTATTTTTTATTTGGATTTGTTTCTAATATAAAAGTGCTTATATTTGAGTTGCACCCTTTATAAGTAGCTGAAGATACTTAATCTTTCTTATTGACCCATATAATTCACCAGGCATGTGTGGCTGTCTGGACAAAAATATGCACCTATTTCACTGCCCCATATAAATTGCCTCTGCAGGTGCAAGATACACTATGGTTATAAAGTTATAAGTAACTGCTTTATATCAGTTTTCTGGAAGAATGTGGAAATGTGGCACCAAATTCAAGAAAGTGGAGTGACAGATTTACAGAATTCCTTACAGATTCTTTTTATAATGCTGCCTATAATGATACCAACCAGAAACAGAGAACTGTATCCATAACATGAAGGTGACAGATCATTACCATGATCAACTTGAAATGTCAAACGTGAAAAATCTAGTGGGTAGGAAGACTGGAGAAACAGAAATGGGATGGAATGTGGCAAAGAGAGCTTCATCTAAAACTGATACTAACAATTGCTGAGGAGGATGTCAAAATGGGGCTTTATTGGATGATCGCAGGATTATTACAAACCACCTGCCTAATGCATTTATTTAAAAGGCAAACATCATCCTAAAATGCATCCTCTGGCCTCCAGAGAGGAGGAATTRCCAATGTCAAATACAAGACACTTGGAAGACTTTATCTCGAAGACTGAGTGCAGATCTTAACACACACATTCACTAGTAGGAACAGAAACTGGGAAAAATTTATCCTGCAGAGCTGTTAATAGAATCAATAAATTGATGGGGCTGTCTTSTATGAAACAAAGTAAAAAGAGGTGAATTGTTCACCTTGCCACTCTGGAGAATGTGTCTGGAAGAGCTCCACAGAAGGAGCTATGACATGAAAAATTGTTACCTTCTTTTTGACACATTTACGAAAGGATGGGGATGTCACCTTGGTCTATAATAGAATGATATTGCATTAAAAAAGAGAGAAGCTGCTTCCTATTTGATTACTTTGAGTAGACTATTGAAATACAAGTGCTTATATAGAGAATTTTAATGCCAGAATAGTCACTTACATTGGTAGTTAACATTGATATTATCAGGAAAAGTTGTGTAAAAAAAAAGAGAGATGTGAATGCAAAGCACTTGTCATTCTCTAAATTAGACATTCCCAGCCATTAACCTAAAGATGGGTCAGTATAGCAGTATTAGAAATGGTCTAACTTTGTTCCCCACCTTCTAGTGTTCCAGTTTAGAGGAGCCTTGGGGTCACTGAGMGATCTTACAGGGGTGATTCACCTTGCTGGCTGTGCAGTTTCAGATTTAGGCAAGTGTTGTTACACAGTGAAGAAAGAATTTGGAACTTCGTAACTTCTCCAGTTAGTTAAAGCTCTGGGCTCAGTGAGCTGGGGTCAGTCCTGTTCTGTTCTTCCCCCTGCCTTGTTCTTCCTGCCTCCCCTAGCCCAGCCCACTGGCTATACAGGGTCTGTTTTAACAGGCCTATTTTTTTATTTCTTTCCTGGGCTTTGTCCATTTGTGATAGCTGTAATGCAAAAGTTACATTCAGTCCCCTAAAAAAAATTTTAAATTGTATTATTTAGGGGATAAAATGACCTYATGATGTATAAAACAGAGCTTGAAGTTCTCTCAGAGAGCTAATATATAAGAACTGGCTCTGCAAGAAAAGTTACAGGAATGTCTTTTGTCATTCTYTCTGTTGAATCTGTTGAGTCTTGAGGCAGTATATGCAATACACATSATTTTAAAGTAGAAGTTGAAGGTCCAGTTTGCTATTTCACCACAAGGTAAAGTCTTTCTCAATCTGCACTCAGTTGTGCTCGATGACTGTGTTATTTTGAGATGTGAGTAATGCAGCTGTGCATTGCTTATTAATGAAATGTCAAGCGAAGAGGTGGTTCTTGTCCTGCTTCGTAATAGATTTTATTGTCTGCCTTTATCTTGATGCCAGTTGTCATTGTAAGAAATGTGTGCATATAAATCATATGAAAATGTACTGCTTGATAAAGGATAAGAGAATTGATGATGCCATATTGTATTACTAAAAGGTCAGTATTTATGATKGGGGAAATCGTCATCCGTGAGAAAGCAGTGAGTGTGTGTGCACAGGGGACTAATGTCAAGAATAACTGTGTCAYAAGCACCTGTTGTGCACATGGATTCTTCCTCTATTCACTTCTGCCAATGTTCTAAATTACCCCTATTTCCAGTCCTGCTGCTRTTTCATTACACCTGTTTCCATGAAACTCATTCATAGGTAAAATAGTTTGGGAAATCCCTCGAAAAAAGCAGCATGGGGAGACCACTGCTTTTCCTAAGGTGGTTGCTGCCAGTCAGCATTGCTGGGAAAGGGTAGTTAAATGTGTTCTCCCCAAGCTGATTTCTGGCAAAAGAAAGATACTGAGTACATGGAACATGACACATGGCCTCACGATACAGTGCTACCTGTGTCACTGGGTGCTGGCATCTCTTCTACTTCACACAAGATTTGTAATGTTTTGTGCTATTCTCAGAATCATGGGGTTTAGGGTTATGGGCATAGATCACCTTAGAATTTTTGTAATTATATTCTTATTTTTCTAGCTCCTTGTGGCTTGATCATCTTARAAAACCTAGGGGTAAAAGTACAAGACAGTGAAATGTACTGTGAAAGATGTAAAATGTATCCTGAGTGTTGGCAAGATAACCTCCCTGTAAGAACATAGCAGAAAGGGTGTAATTCACATTTTTCACTGTGWTTGAATTCATAAATTACTCCTGAGATTTCTGTGGGCCATTTTCATCCCTCATTCACTATGAAGTAAGGCAACATTTAAATGAGCACAGTCAAAAGTGATCTTCCAAAAACGTGACCGCAAAAAAACCTGAGAAGAAACAGGAACTTTATTTCCCAGATGCAATTACTTGACCCAGCCTGAGGTTCCAAAGGCAAATGCCCATGTCACATAACCAAGTTACTGTTAAGGGGCCTAATCCACAGTTTGTTAAAATCTGCAGAAAAATCCTTTTTCATTATCTATTCTCAGATGTACAGTCCATTATCATGCAGGTGTATGTCACACATGGATCTTGAGGAGAGTAAAATAATTTTTAAAATGCAAAAAATACACGGAAAATTGATTTTGAATACATGTCTTTTATTTATATTACCATCATTGTAATATATTTGTGGTGTTATCATTGTTTGGYTTGTATTGCACAAAGTTCTTGATATTTTYTGAGGGATCCAGATTGCCTCTAGAAACACTTTGATACCTATTCTGATCRTTGGGCACCCTGTTGAATGCTGAAAAACATTAATTAAAATAAACAGCAGAGACTGCGTTTGCACAAGTAAAGAATGTTCAACCTAAGTTTTGTTTTTTCTTTTTTAAAAATGTACAAAGTAATTTTCATTTGCTCTTCTAGATAGTTAATCTGCTTTTCTACTTTGCCTATATCACATAAAAGAAAGTGAATCACTCTTTCTTTCGAGTTTTGTTTAACAAAGGAAAAGTATCTATCCARACTCTCACTTTTAGGTGTTTCTTCATTTTTTACACCTTTGTAGCCTCCAACAATCTTAAAATTTTCAAGTTTTGTACAGCAACACATCATTGTCATCAGGTTTCCCTTCCAGTCTGCACCAACGGGTCTTCTCCATCTGCATCCATAGTTTTCTTTTTTTTTAATCTGTCCTTGCCTGTCAGTGTCTTTCCAAAGTTAAACCATAATCATAGTATCAAATTAAGTTACTCTTCACCATCACAGAATATACCATGTGCTAAGTCAGAGTATAATTTGCTCTCACACTATTAATTTCTTCCCCTTTGAAGTCAGCCTGTTTCAGTGTCTCAGCTTTGTCTCATGCCTTGAAACTGGACTCCGAATTTTTTGAGCCACAGGTCGCTGACCTTTTCAGCTCTGCTTTCYTTATAAATCAATGGCATTTGGCTTCACTCACAATTGCAGCACACTCATGCAGAGGAGAGGAGGGAGTTGTTCTTCCCCCAAAAAGTTTATCTCTGTGTGACCAATTCATCTTGAGTAGAAGTGATGGAGGGCCAGCCCAGCCTAGCTCTGATTTAGCTCTACAACCAGAAAACACGATTTTTAGAACAGCTCATCTGAGAACTGACAAATTAGCTCTGGCTTCCTGGGAGCCTCTAATCAATTAAAAATATTTCCTCGCCTCCACTGCGAGGAATCTGCTGCAGCACTGCGGAAATGAGCTGAGCACCGCGTTGGCTGAGTCAGCAAGAAAGCGGGCGGGCTGCACACTCGTCGCTCTCCTCTTGGCTGCATCCTCAGGGTCACGCTGGTTTCATGAGATGCCAGACAGAAGGAAGGTTTGGAACATGCCAAGTGAGGCATAGATGTGGTCGTGAGCTCACTCTCTCCTAAAGGACAGATGCTGCTGAGGCTTCGGTCTCAGGCAGAAGGTGAGGTTTCACTTCAGCCCAAAAATACAGCTCCTCCCTTGTAGTGTGGAGGGCTGAAAAATGGACAAAGCTGTGCCCTGTTCAGAGCAGAAATGAATTAAAATGCTTAGATGACCTGCCAAGGAAATAACCTTACATTTTTTCAGTGGCTTAATGACCTCCTCAACCCTTTTTAGAAATACCTTTGAGATTTCTTTTTCCTGCTAACTATCTTCCTTTCATCCTTAATGGATTCAGACAGTTCACCCCTTGGCTTTAACAGAGGGAAGCTCTCTCTCTTGTGCTCCTTCTTTGGGGTATTGAATGAGATCTAGCTGTGCATAGATGTCTCTTGTGGGAGGATCTGTGTGTCTAT